GGTCGCTGGCCTGGCGCCGCGTAAAGGCAGCGCCGCAAAGCAAAACAGAGCTTCGCCAGCGCACGCAGCGGGCGGCGTCGCGGCCGCCGCACGCCATTGTGGGTCTTCGGTGGCGGGGCGGAGGGCGAGCGTCGTTGGCGCGCGTGGGCGAGACGATGCCGCCCACAGCCCCCAGCACCCCCCACCGCGGAGGGCGAGGGGCCGAGCGGTCAGGTCCCGCAGGGCGCCTCCGAGCGGCGCACGGTCATTTACCGCGGGAAGGGAAAAGAGGCACAATGAACCAGCGAGGAGGTAGTGCAAGGAGTGTTTGCCCCGCCTGCTAGCGCGCGCCCCGCGCCCCGGCCCCTCGGAGCGTAGCTTGGCCCGGACGCGCCGCGCCCAACAGAATCGCCGCGCGTGGGTTCATGGGACCGCGCTTCTGTGTGTGCTCTGCCCAGCCCCCCGATGCAATGAAGCCGGTGCCGATCGCGGCCCGCGGCGGGGTTGGCGCCGCCTCAAGGGCGGGCACGCCCGCCCCCCCCACCCCCACAAGCCTCCCATTATTTTATGCGCCCGTCTTTTGCTCCATCCTCAAAGACGTCCACCGTGCGCTTTCGAGCCGGCGAGAATAAATTCCTGCAGAAAGCATCTGTCGCCGCGACGCCGCGTTGCCCACGCGCGGCTGCCGGGGGTATGGGGGCGGGGCGGTGCAAAGGGGTGTGGCGCCCGCTGTTGCATGCGCCCGCGCCTCTGGCGCAACGCATGCGCGGTTCCTGCCGTGGCCGTGCGGCGCCGTTGTTTTGCACTGCGCTGGCGGTGGCGGTGCGGCGGGTGTTCCTCCGTTGCGGGGGCGTCGATGCGTGGCCGCTGCTGTTCTCGCCCCGTGAAGGATGCGGCTGTTGTTTGTTTGTTTGTTTGTTTTCCGCGGGTCGCCGATGCCGTACGCACGGGGGCCTCTCCGCCTTGTTCTCGGCGCGCTCGATGGTTTGTTGCTTTAGAGCCCCTGTGCCCGGCTGTGCGTCCCCGCCCCGCTGCGGTCCGCGAAGCTGCTGGCCGGCGGCGACGCGGTGGCGGGGCACCTGCCGGAGGCGGGCGACGTGTTCGTGGCGGGCCTTGCGGCCGGCGACGTCGCTGCGGTGGCGCGGCACGTGGCGTCGCACGAAGACGTGCGCGTGTTCGTCGCGTTCTCCGAGTTTGCGCTGCTGCACGCCGACTTCGTTGCCGCGTTCGGTGGCGGTGCGGGCGCCGACCCCGTTGTGTTTGCGACGAGCCTGCCGCACTGGGACGACGCGAACGCGACGTCGGAGACCGCCCGGGAGTTCCTTGCCGCAGTGCCCAACGCCAAGAAACGGACGCCGCTGGCGCTGATGGGCTTCGCCGCCGCGCGGCTGCTGCGGGCGGTTCTCTCCCGCATGGACAAGGTGAGCGCTAAGCAGCTGACTGACTTCTTCTACACGAACGTCGCCGTCACCGCGAAGGACGTGCTGTACGGCTCCTTCGTTAACGGCACGGCGTGCGCTGCGGCTGCGGCCGGCGGTGCTGGGTGCGGCAAGAACTACGGGGCGACGCGCATTTCTGTGTGGTCGCTTGCCCGTGCGCTGGACCCCGCCGTGCCCGTGCTGTTTCCCGCCGTGACCCCGACGATGGAGTACGCGAAGCCCGCTGCGCGCGGACTGACGGAGCCGCAGCTGATCGGCACCATCGTCGGCAGCGTCGTTGGCGGCCTGCTGCTTGTGGGCGTGGCGGCTCTGCTGCTGCGCTTCTGCCGCGACTCGCGCGACAACGCGAATGCGCCGAAGGAGCCGACGGACCCCGTGACGCTCGTGTTCACCGACATCGAGAGCAGCACGGCGCTGTGGGCTGCGTGCTCGGAGTTGATGCCCGACGCTGTGGCGACGCACCACCGGCTGATCCGCGCGATGATTGCGAAGTACCGCTGCTACGAGGTGAAGACGGTCGGCGACTCGTTCATGATTGCGTGCAAGAGCGCGTTCGCGGCGGTGCAGCTGGTGCGGGAGCTGCAGCAGGTGTTCGTGCAGCACGACTGGGGGACGGCGCGCTCGACGAGGCGTACCGCAAGTTCGAGGAGGGCCGGGCGGAGGAGGACGCGGAGGAGTACGTGCCGCCGACGGCGCGCCTGGACGCCGCGGTGTACCGGCAGCACTGGAACGGCCTGGCGGGTGCGT